CTTAGAAACAATGTTAGAAGATAAGAACCTAGGATATCCTAGAAACAGTGTTAGAAGATAAGAACCTAGGATATCCTAGAAACAGTGTTAGAAGATAAGAACCTAGGATATCCTAGAAACAGTGTTAGAAGTTAAGAACCTAAGATATCCTAGAAACAGTGTTAGAATATAAGACTCTAGGATATCCTAGAAACAGTGTTAGAAAATAAGAACCTAGGATATCCTAGAAACAGTGTTAGAAGATAAGAACCTAGGATATCCTAGAAACAGTGTCAGTAAAGAGAAACACGGAGCTGGAGATCATAATCTCTTCAAATATCTTAAATTATTTCCTATCAGTTTATCTTCTGTTTTCTCAATTAGTTTGATCACCTTGTATAATTATATTTGTTTAAGTTGTAATTTTATACATGAGTTACTGCCCATGTACTAGACTAATTACTTTCAATAATTCATCATTTACTTCCAACTTTAATTGTCTGGTTTCTTTAAAAAAAACTGTTAAATTCTTAGACCTTTTTCATTTTAAATTGAGTTGTATTGATGAAAAATAATCACTTGTAAAAGTTTTGATGTATTTCTCTTCAAACACATCAAATATCATACTAGCACTTACAACTTTTACTAGTTGTTAGAATATTATAGTACTAGGTAAACACATCAAATATCATACTAGCACTTACAACTTTTACTAGTTGTTAGAATATTATAGTACTAGGTAAACACATCAAATATCATACTAGCACTTAAAACTTTACTAGTGGTTAGAATATTATAGTACTAGGTAAACACATCAAATATCATACTAGCACTTAAAACTTTTACTAGTGGTTAGAATCCTATAGTACTAGGTAAACACATCAAATATCATACTAGCACTTACAACTTTTACTAGTGGTTAGAATATTATAGTACTAGGTAAACACATCAAATATCATACTAGCATTTAAAACTTTACTAGTGGTTAGAATATTATAGTACTAGGTAAACACATCAAATATCATACTAGCACTTACAACTTTTACTAGTGGTTAGAATATTATAGTACTAGGTAAACACATCAAATATCATACTAGCACTTAAAACTTTACTAGTGGTTAGAATATTATAGTACTAGGTAAACACATCAAATATCATACTAGCACTTACAACTTTTACTAGTGGTTAGAATATTATAGTACTAGTAAACACATCAAATATCATACTAGCATTTAAAACTTTACTAGTGGTTAGAATATTATAGTACTAGGTAAACATTAGATTTATGTTCAATGAGAGAGATCAACTTTTAGTCTGTTTGGTTCTGGTAGTGATCAAGGTAATAAGTTACTATTCAATAAAAGGCACTGGCACAGGATTCTGGGATTCTGGTAGTGTTAAAGAATTGTTTATTTAGATTAGTTTGAAATTGTAAAAATGAGTCTATGTTGATGTTTTGAATTATTAAGTTTTGAGTTATTAATAACTATCTGATAATAATATAGAAATATATATTGATAGAATGATGAAAATATCAAGTTTAAATATTCTAAAAAACAAATCAATGCCAAGGAATTCTGAAAGAGTAAAAGAAAGGTATTTTAGAGAATATAAAATGTGCAGTGTATTAGCTAACTGTAAACATTTCACCACCATTCTACATTAAGATATGATGATGATATTTTGTCTAAAGTTCAATTTATAGTCGGCCATCTTTGATACGTTCAATCTGTAATAATAAATAATAAAATTCACGTCTGATCTCAGTTCAAACGAGAAATAAAAATCTCAGGGTGGAGGCAGATCATCTTTCATTACTTTGTCTTCAGATTTTATACTTTTTTTTTTCATTGAAATTAAAGATGTCTGGGTTTTTGTCTTTTGTCAGGTTTTTATAAAGTTCAATGTCTAACTTGGTAACAGTTTTTTCACCGGCGTTGCTTGGGAATGAAGAGTTTTGAGATTTCCCTAACGTTGTCTGTGATTTCTGTAATTCCAGAAGAACTATAACTTTTAGTCTTGAATGTGTCTTGAATTTCAGCTTTTCTTTCCTCCATTTCTAATTTCCAAACCAACATTCTTGATTTGTACAAGCAAGTCGATTCCGTTAATTAAAATCTTGTCCAAAGACCAAAATATGACAAAATCAAGAGTAAAAGTTTTATAGTAGTGGACTCCTCTAAAGAAAAGTACCATCAGGTGTTTTGAAAAGAGTAAGCATGGTTTGTTTCGCACTAGAAACTATTGTTTTAGCAGCCATTTTGTGAGAGCAAGAAATATATATATAGCACTTAATTTAATGTTATTGACTAACCTGATATAAATTAAACAGTTTTAAAATCACTACTTGACACTGACTCTGTTTTATAACGCCTGTATATTTCCTACTCTATAAAGTTTGAATAATGAAAAATTAGAAATAATATGTAATATAACTGAATATAATTCTAGTCATTAAACGGAAAGTTTATGTTAAAATATAGTTTTAATTTGTCATCAGTCTAACCTATACTGGTTATCACTGTCTTGTCTAACCTATACTGGTTATCACTGTCTTGTCTAACCTATACTGGTTATCACTGTCTTGTCTAACCTATACTGGTTATCACTGTTTTGTCTAACCTATACTGGTTATCACTGTTTTGTCTAACCTATACTGGTTATCACTGTTTTGTCTAACCTATACTGGTTATCACTGTTTTGTCTAACCTATACTGGTTATCACTGTCTTGTCTAACCTATACTGTTATCACTGTTTTGTCTAACCTATACTGGGTATCACTGTCTTGTCTAACCTATACTGGGTATCACTGTCTGTAAATTGAAGTTTCTATGTATATTTAGTATGTAAACAGCAAGTTAAATTGATTTTAAAGTCTAATGTTAAACGGAAAGTTTGTGTTAAAATGTAACTGAAATTATGTCTGTATTTTGTAAATTACAAATGTTTTATTTCTAACCTAGACCACTGTCTTTAAGATGAGATTATATCAGTAAGTTATTTCTAACCTAGACCACTGTCTTTAAGATGAGATTATATCTGTGAGTTATTTCTAACCTATACCACTGTCTTTAAGATGAGATTATATCTGTAAGTTATTTCTAACCTAGACCACTGTCTTTAAGATGAAATTATATCTGTAAGTTATTTCTAACCTATACCACTGTCTTTAAGATGAGATTATATCTGTAAGTTATTTCTAACCTAGATCACTGTCTTTAAGATGAAATTATATTTGTAAGTTATTTCTAACCTAGACCACTGTCTTTAAGATGAAATTATATCTGTAAGTTATTTATAACCTAGACCACTGTCTTTAAGATGAAATTATATCTGTAAGTTATTTATAACCTAGACCACTGTCTTTAAGATGAAATTATATCTGTAAGTTATTTCTAACCTAGACCACTGTCTTTAAGATGAAATTATATCTGTAAGTTATTTCTAACCTAGACCACTGTCTTTAAGATGAAATTATATCTGTAAGTTATTTCTAACCTAGACCACTGTCTTTAAGATGAAATTATATCTGTAAGTTATTTCTAACCTAGACCACTGTCTTTAAGATGAAATTATATCTGTAAGTTATTTCTAACCTATACCACTGTCTTTAAGATGAAATTATATCTGTGAGTTATTTCTAACCTAAACCACTGTCTTTAAGATGAAATTATATCTGTAAGTTATTTCTAACCTAGATCACTGTCTTTAAGATGAAATTATATCTGTGAGTTATTTCTAACCTAGACCACTGTCTTTAAGATGAGATTATATCTGTAAGTTATTTCTAACCTAGACCACTGTCTTTAAGATGAGATTATATCTGTAAGTTATTTCTAACCTAGATCACTGTCTTTAAGATGAGATTATATCTGTAAGTTATTTCTAACCTAGACCACTGTCTTTAAGATGAGATTATATCTGTAAGTTATTTCTAACCTAGACCACTGTCTTTAAGATGAAATTATATCTGTAAGTTATTTCTAACCTAGACCACTGTCTTTAAGATGAAATTATATCTGTAAGTTATTTCTAACCTAGACCACTGTCTTTAAGATGAAATTATATCTGTAAGTTATTTATAACCTAGACCACTGTCTTTAAGATGAAATTATATCTGTAAGTTATTTATAACCTAGACCACTGTCTTTAAGATGAAATTATATCTGTAAGTTATTTCTAACCTAGACCACTGTCTTTAAGATGAAATTATATCTGTAAGTTATTTCTAACCTAGACCACTGTCTTTAAGATGAAATTATATCTGTAAGTTATTTCTAACCTAGACCACTGTCTTTAAGATGAAATTATATCTGTAAGTTATTTATAACCTAGACCACTGTCTTTAAGATGAAATTATATCTGTAAGTTATTTCTAACCTAGACCACTGTCTTTAAGATGAAATTATATCTGTAAGTTATTTATAACCTAGACCACTGTCTTTAAGATGAAATTTGTGTAGCTGTAATTATTGTTGTCTGTATTTTGTACTAAACTACGAAATGTCTGTAGAAATTTAAATAATTGGTCAATAATTCTTACGACTACTTCACCTCATTTCAAGTAGACTTTCAAAACCTCCTTGATTGAAAACTTTATCGATTTCATTTCACTGGTTTTTTCCTGGATTAGACATCAACATACTTTTATCATAGATAAACCAGATTTTTAAATTGAACTTTATTTTTTCTCTTCTTCCATGTTTTTTCTGTATTTTCTGTCAACTCAGACGTTTTTAATGGCCTCTTCGTCGTAATATCTGACAAAGTCTATAAAAATCTTGACGTGGGTTTGCTCAGATTAAAACGTTTTGTTCGTTAAAAAGATTCTATTGATGTCGTTGAAGTGTAAAATTTGAGTTTTGAGACGACATGAATTAATAAAAAATGAAAATTGGGAAGCGGAAGAAATCTTGTGAAAGACCAGACTGTCAATCAATCAATCTTTTTAGTTTTTACGTTTTTGCGTCTGGTTGATATTGATTTCTGATTACACTTCTTCACAATTTCATAAAAAATTGCATTTATTTATTTCTGGTGATTTTATTAAATTAATTTACCAGTAAAAATATTGATCACTGTCTGGTAGTTTCATACAAAAACAAGACCTTTTTCTGAAATCTATAGAAATTCTTTTCGTTTTGTTGAAGAAATATTATCAATGTTTATTATGGTATTATTAGAATATATTAAACTAAATGTTTCTTCTGCTTTCTTATCTGCTGTTTCCAACTTCATAACCTCCATCATAGAACTATAATATAACAGTTGTGTATTCTCTATCAGGTGTAAAACATAAAGTTTTCAGTTCACTGTCTGGTCTGTTTATCATAATCAATATAACTTTATAATATTTAATATATTTTATTATTTTAGAGAAAGCTGTGACAAAGTTACAGTTAGATAATATGGATATTACCAGAAGACATTTATCTTTCACTAATGAACAGGTCAGTTATTTCCCTTTATTTCTCCTGTTTCCCGAACTCTCCTCTTTTTATCTTACTTAATTCTTTTCTTACACGTCATTACTCATTAACTTGGGCACAAAAATGAACTTATGAAATAGTTTTATACGAATTGTATCTAACCTTTTTTTTCAAGGCTGACAATGAAACGATAATGACCAGCTTCAAAAATCTCAAAAAAATTTTGCAAGTGAAAGATCTGACTGAATATTGTCAATGTATTGTGAATTTTACAGCCAAATGAAATGTTTTTGTGAATTAGGGACACTGTTAGCATTTGATGACGTCATTAATCACAAAATATGCTTATATCATATTATTAGGCCCTTCGCAATTAGTGACATCAACAAACTCTTAGCTTTTAGTAGAATTACAGGAACCACAGATGTCTGAATGAAAATTAGAATGTTGAATATTAATGCTATCAGTGTCCCGGATACACAAACAAACCTCTGACAATCCCTTTAAATAAAACAGCCGTGTATTGGAATGATAATAAATATTGAAAATAATTATAAAATTTCTACCAGTTCTAATATTGTCACGTAAACAGAAAAATTCACAGCTGTATGCATCATTAATAATATTTAAAATCTCATCAACCAATCATTCTACATTTTACTGTCGGCCATATTGTTTTTACGTTATTTTTTCTATCAGGTCATAAATATTTTTAAAGTATCTTCTGATGACTTTAACAGTGGCTCCCCCACATTGAATCCATATAAACTTTTAAAAAAAATATCTCATGTTATATCTCGTTAGAGCAATGCTAAATTTATAAAAATTATGTCATTTTCTTTGATTTTTTTCCTAAAAGAATTTCTCTTTCAAGAATTTTGGCAATTGTAGAAATTAATAATAGTGTTCACAGTTCACTGTTATATATAGAAAAGATATATATAGAAATAGTCAGTAAAATTAATAATAGTGTTCACAGTTCACTGTTATATATAGAACAGACATATATAGAAATAGTCAGTAAAATTAATAATAGTGTTCACAGTTCACTGTTATATATAGAAAAGATATATATAGAAATAGTCAGTAAAATTAATAAAAGTGTTCACAGTTCACTGTTATATATAGAACAGACATATATAGAAATAGTCAGTAATATTAATAATAGTGTTCACAGTTCACTGTTATATATAGAACAGACATATATAGAAATAGTCAGTAAAATTAATAATAGTGTTCACAGTTCACTGTTATATATAGAAAAGATATATATAGAAATAGTCAGTAAAATTAATAATAGTGTTCACAGTTCACTGTTATATATAGAACAGACATATATAGAAATAGTCAGTAAAATTAATAATAGTGTTCACAGTTCACTGTTATATATAGAAAAGATATATATAGAAATAGTCAGTAAAATTAATAATAGTGTTTACAGTTCACTGTTATATATAGAACAGATATATATATAGAAATAGTCAGTAAAATTAATAATAGTGTTCACAGTTCACTGTTATGTATAGAACAGACATATATAGAAATAGTCAGTAAAATTAATAATAGTGTTCACAGTTCACTGTTATATATAGAAAAGATATATATAGAAATAGTCAGTAAAATTAATAATAGTGTTTACAGTTCACTGTTATATATAGAACAGATATATATAGAAATAGTCAGTAAAATTAATAATAGTGTTCACAGTTCACTGTTATGTATAGAACAGACATATATAGAAATAGTCAGTAAAATTAATAATAGTGTTCACAGTTCACTGTTATATATAGAAAAGATATATATAGAAATAGTCAGTAAAATTCCTAGTTTGAAGTATCTTTAAAGGAATTATATTAAAGACCCAGAATGGTGCACCTATCCCTTTAGAAAGAAATAATTGATAAATTATTGTTTTGGGGAATTTTTAAAATATATATTTTCTAGTTGAATTATACACAATATTTTAAAGTTAATGTCAAAAAGCAAGATCTTTTTGAAAAAATGAAAGCAATCATGAGACTTGTCTTCAATGGGTTTGAATCTTATAAGAATATCACCAAAATTTGACTGATAAATGAGCCAACCTAGAGGGTGAAATTACAATTGGGAAATGTTCTGATTGGACAACTGCTAATGCTACTGTCCTGGCAAAATTTCCCTCATTGTACACTGCACATGGCCTATTTTTCACAACATGAGGAATTTTTTATTACATTTAACTTAAATAACTCTACATTTATCAAACATTTTAAAATATTTTAAACAATTTTCAAATTTAAAATATTTTTTATCTGTGAAATAGAATCTTGGTTTGTGGAATTTATTTTGAAATGTCAAACACTATATGGGGGGTAGTCCGAGAGTGTGGGAATCTAATTCAAATCAGAATTTTTCACTGCCAGTGTACAATATTCTAGTCTCTTGGATTTAACTCAAAAATTTCACATTTAGCTTGTTAATTTTGTACGTATATAAGGTTTGTTTCTGAACCAATTTAAAAAATCTAAAACATGGCAATTTGAGAGTTGAAATGGAAGTGATTTTAATAATTTAATGTTGTTAGTTATTGCTAGTAATATTGATTTCAAACTATCTGGAGAGAAATTCTGTGTTTTATAAGAAAACTGTTCATTGATGAGTTATTAATTTTTAAACTACCGGTACAAATGATGTATTTTGGTTGTTGCTATAGATTAGAGAAAAGTTTTAGGAAAATACCATATTCATGTATTCTTACTGTTTGACGAACTAACAGAATAATTTAAAAAGTTATGAAGACAGAATTTGAAATATTTCTAGCTGTGTCTAGTAGCATACATGTGTAATCTACCGATGTTGTCGGGTTTCTACTGCTTTTGCATGTTGTCTACCGCTCTACCGCCGGGATACCCGATTCTACCGATTTTTGTTTTTTTTCCTGATCCAATACGGGACCTACTGTTTTCAATGTTCAAATTCTCTACCATAAATCAACAAAATATCTATCATCACTTGTATCTTAATTGCCGGTAACACGCGTTAATCTCATCACGTAATAATATTATCATTGTCTGATTAATTAATCCCCCAATTAAGATGGTAATTTGATCTATTTTAGCCCGATAATGTGTATTTTAAGCCCACATGACACACTTTTTATAACAACATCCGGTAGATTCTACTTTCGCTTTTATAATAAATTTTACGGTAGCCCTACTTTTACTAAAAAACGAAATCTTGAAGTCTTCTCAGTATTTTATACCGTCAGTGTCAATCTATAATAGACCTATATAATATAGACGTCGTTTCAGAATTATTTTTCATTATCGGTAGATTATCATACGCGACTGGATGTCTAATTCTTACGTAAACTCAAACTTCGAGCCTGTAAACATTCATTTGATTGCATAACGGGCTTCCTTATTACAAGTCTTTCCATTCTGAAGAACGTCAAAATGGAAGCGGTTAATTCAGTTCAATACTTCGTGAGAGTGTTGCAGGAAAAGTATTTAATGATCGGACTGGAGATATTTAAGATGTCATGAATTACACCTTTGGAAAAAGTAACATTGCCAGTACATATTATTTACTAAATATTGCTTTCAGAACATACTGATTTTAATATGGTATGACATGTAGGCCTACTGGTACCATTTAATTTAGAGGGCTGGGATCAGGCTTGCTTTCTTGTTTTCATTTCACCTTGACATTATTTTTGATTCAATCAATACTGAAGAATGATAATATCAAATTTTTTTTGGGCCCCTAAATTTGAAATATCAGGCACTATTTCTAGAATTATCCATAATTATAGATTGTTAATTTTAACTGTGTCATGTAGGCCTATGATCAATTTAATTAATTTACAAGGCTTAAAGCCTATTTGAAAAAAAAAAAGAAAAAATCAATCAATTTGGAGTTTCAAATCATGAATTCACGCGCTTTGGAAAAATCTCCCGACTTTTCACCCAATCTCCAGATTTTTCAAGGCAAATCTCCAGATTTTTTTTCCTGACCTGTACACATGTATGTCTAGTAGAAGAAGAAGAACATGTGTAAAATATATTAAAACTGTAAAAATATAAAAACTGTCAACATGGTGACCAAGAAACTTAACAAACTATCTGGGTGATCTATAATAGTTCATCTTGTATTATCATTGCTGTAGGATTGTGGTGCATCAACACTGTCTTGCAATGTGTCGTAACAGAAATTGAAAAACAAACAAAAAATTATTTACCAGTAGGTTTAACTAATAAATTGTTTCATCTAAAAGAAAACATTTTATTGTGGAAAAATTAAAAATGAATTAAAATAAAGAGTTTGTAGTCTTACTTTTCTGTACCTTCTTTGTCATTAACCTACTCTTTTTCTATTTTCAACTGTGGAGGGATCTTTAACGTGTACAGCCTGTAACATAGGGTCTGAGTTTAATCTTCATCCGTTCTTAAACAACGTATTTTAAACAGTTTTAGAGAATTGAATTTTATTTTATTATTTCAGGAAACATCGACGGAGCCGTTTGATGATGATACAGTTATAATGTATAATAGGGTACCCAAGACAGGAAGTACCTCTTTCGCTGATTGTCTTATGATCTTTGTGTCCAGAA